AGCATCTGCAGTGTTTAAGTTAGTCAGGGCACAACACACACATTTGAGATAACATTTAAATCAGCAGAAGAAAAAATTTTATTATCTAAAGTCTCATGTTGACAGTGCTCAAAATAATATTGCTTATATTAATTCTACACTGTTCAGTTTGTCTTGAATCACATTTCTGGTTATTACAAGAATTTAACTCGGACTACAGTTGGACGAAGCATATCCTTGTGTCTGTCCATGTTCCATCCATCCATTTTCTGTCACGCATGTCCCAAGCGGGGTCGCAAGGGGTGCTGGTGCCCATCTCCAGCTGTCTACGGGCAACAGGCGGGGTATACCCTGGACAGGTCGCCAGTCCACCGCAGGGTCTGTCCATGTTCAGTTTTCTTTATATTCTGGCTAATTTATATCGAATGTAAGCTTTTATTGGATACTGGTCAATGTATGGGAGAGAATTTTTTGAAAGCCCCCAATATCGATATCGATCTTCAGAATCCCATATCGGTTGGGCTGGCATGTATGTGACCTTCTCTGTTTCTTTGTGTATGTATGTCTACAAGAATAAGGGCTGCTTTGAAAAAAGGAGACAAGCTGCATGGATGCATAACAGGCACAGCATATAATCTCCAACTCTCCATCTTCTATAACCTTAAATACAGCGTAATAACAGGAAACATTCGGGCACTGGTATGGCTGAACATCTACCATCATTTTCCTCAAATTGCCACATTAGTGTATCAGCACACAGCCAGCTATGCCACTGTATAAGCATTGATAAGACTCCAAGCTTTTTAGGTAGTTCTTACACTACGATCTACCACCGTGCTGGTTTTAACACTGGGGCGTTTCGATAGACGGGGATAAACCACCTTCTTTTATGAGTAATAAATGAGAATGTACCAATTTTTGTGCCTTCACTGCCCAATGTAAACCAAAACTGACTTTATTCAACTGGAGATAAGTAGCAGAATTAGCTTAGTGATGGAAGTAAACAGAAATACCCGAGAAATAGCCTTTTTTCAGGCTAAAATAGTACATTTATTGGTATGTCTAGGAATGATATAGAAAATGTGTTAAATTAAACATTTTCACAGCAGCAGAATTATCTCACTTTAAAATTAATTAAAAAACAAAAACAGACATCTAACTTGAGTTACTGAGAAAAATAATGTTTTTTTTTGAAGATGTTTTGCTTCAAAATTATTATCAATCATTAAAATGTGTTAAAAATAAGTATGACACAAATGTGTTTGTTATTTTTTTTGTTTTCTTAATCACCATGAGGAAACCTTTAACCAGTAGTTAATGAGAGTAAAACTGGATGATCTCCGAAACTTGCTGCACTGGAAAACCATGTAAAAAAAAAAAATTTATGAAATAAGAACATGGCAACAGGTTTTTCTAATGTGTAATTTTCCAGCTCAGATGTTGGAGTGCCCTAAATGATTAAGAAAAATTAATTACATTCTCTTAAGAATTGCATTTAAAAAAGCTGTTGTTGCACTAACAAAATAAAAGAAGCCTGACTAATGTATAAGAAAAAAAGAAAAAAAAATGCTCTCCTAAAAGGTGCTTAAAGGCAGAAAAATCCAAACTTTAGCAACTTTGATATTAATTAGTGCAAGAAAATTACCACATATTCGACTGAATTCTGACCCCCTCAAAGGCATACAGCATGAGGCAAGGATACAAATAGCAGGTTCCTTGTTTTCTGTTTTAAAAAGTACGGTAAATGAAACATTCAGCTCACTATAGACACATTAAAACTAGTCGAATTTGACGAGCCATCCAATGAGTCACTAAAGCGGTTCTTTGTACTATAATGTATGACCAAGAACTCAAAAACTAAAATTTTCCAAAAAGTTAGGGGAAAAAATGGACATTTTCCTCAAGGGGAAAATTATAATAATAATAAAAAAAACTTGGAATATATGGATTTGATTTGCCTCAAGTAAATGGTAATGGCATTGCCTTCTGCTGAGAGCAAGTTAAAACCTTTACCTTTGAATTTTGCTTGAGAAGCAATTTTCTTTCCCAGGGAACAGCTTGTGGGCTACAGCAGCTCAATAAACTGCACTGTGAACATGCATATATTTAGAGTCCAACACAAGAACTGAAATATACTGATAGCTGCATATACACTTTACCTTCTTCACAATGTATTAAGCTGTCTCAGTGACTACTTAATAGGCAGGCATTAAATGTAGTATACAGTCATATCATGAGGGGTATTAAAATATTCAAAGGAGAATGAGGGATTAATACAGCTTTCTCTGAGTCGCTGGAGACCGCAGGAACAGTTTAGCCATGCTGTCTATTATAAGTTAACCACCTGTTTTGCCTACAAAAACAGACAGTTTATGGGATTTCTCCACATTTTTATTTTAAAAGCCCATACTTGTTCAAGACTGATTACTCAATCATTATTTTGTCCGTTTTAAAATACAAACTTTAAAGTTCAAAATTAGTTCATGGTATGAATCTTAATGTAAAACCTGCATAAACGGATGGATGGATGGATGGATATAAAGACAATAAGTGATCTGGGTGAAGCAACTTATTTTGAGCTATTCAAACTGTAATATTTTTTTATTTAAATTTAATGTTATTGACTTTGATTTTATTGATATTTGACTTTGCTTTTTTTTTTCATTTTCATTTCTTTTTAAAAACTTGTTAAGTCCATCCAGCCCTTTTCCGTTGAGCTTAACCCTGCTTGGGCCCTGGTAGTGGTGGTGCCTATCTCCGGCTGTGAATAGGCAAAAGGCTGGGTACACCCAGGACAGCTCGCCAGTCTATCACAGGGCAACACAGAGGCAAACAGAACAAACAACCATTAACACGCACACACTCACACCTAAGGAGAATTTAGAGAAGCCAGTTAACCTCACAGTCATGTTTTTGGACTGTGGGAGGAAGCGGGTGTACCCGGAGAGAACCAACGCATGCTCAGGGAAAACATGCAAACTCCATGCAGAAAGACCTCGGGCTACTGATGCCCACTGCTCCTCAATTATCTCAAATATAAGAGAAGGTTGCGTTTACTAGACAATAGAGATGTCCCGATCCAGGTTTCTGCACTTCCGATCCGATACCGATATTGTTTTTGGACTTCCGATCCGATACCGATACTGGCCGATACCAGCCTATCCGAGCATGTATTTAAGTTTAAGTTAAAGTACACTATATTGCCAAAAGTATTTGCTCACCTGCCTTGACTCACATATGAGCTTAAGTGACATCCCGTTCCTAATCCATAGGGTTCAATATGACGTCGGTCCACCCTTTGCAGCTAGAACAGCTTCAACTCTTCTGGGAAGGCTGTCCACAAGGTTTAGGAGTGTGTTTATGGGAATTTTTGACCATTCTTCCAGAAGCGCATTTGTGAGGTCGCACACTGATGTTGGACGAGAAGGCCTGGCTCTCAGTCTCCGCTCTAATTCATCCCAAAGGTGTTCTATCGGGTTGAGGTCAGGACTCTGTGCAGGCCAGTCAAGTTCATCCACACCAGACTCTGTCATCCATGTCTTTATGGACCTTGCTTTGTGCACTGGTGCACAGTCATGTTGGAAGAGGAAGGGGCCAGCTCCAAACTGTTCCCACAAAGTTGGGAGCATGGAATTGTCCAAAATGTCTTGGTATGCTGAAGCATTCAGAGTTCCTTTCACTGGAACTAAGGGGCCAAGCCCAGCTCCTGAAAAACAACCCCACACCATAATCCCCCCTCCACCAAACTTTACACTTGGCACAATGCAGTCAGACAAGTACCGTTCTCCTGGCAACCGCCAAACCCAGACCCGTCCATCAGATTGCCAGATGGAGAAGCGCGATTCGTCACTCCAGAGAACGCGTCTCCACTGCTCTAGAGTCCAGTGGCGGCGTGCTTTACACCACCGCATCCGACGCTTTGCATTGCACTTGGTGATGTATGGCTTGGATGCAGCTGCTCGACCATGGAAACCCATTCCATGAAGCTCTCTGCGCACTGTTCTTGAGCTAATCTGAAGGCCACATGAAGTTTGGAGGTCTGTAGTGATTGACTCTGCAGAAAGTTGGCGACCTCTTCGCACTATGCGCGTCAGCATCCGCTGACCCCGCTCCGTCAGTTTACGTGGCCTACCACTTCGTGGCTGAGTTGCTGTCGTTCCCAAACACTTCCATTTTCTTATAATACAGCTGACAGTTGACTGTGGAATATTTAGGAGCGAGGAAATTTCACGACTGGATTTGTTGCACAGGTGGCATCCTATCACAGTTCCACGCTGGAATTCACTGAGCTCCTGAGAGCGACCCATTCTTTCACAAATGTTTGTAAAAACAGTCTGCATGCCTAGGTGCTTGAATTTATACACCTGTGGCCATGGAAGTGATTGGAACACCTGATTCCAATAATTTGGATGGGTGAGCAAATACTTTTGGCAATATAGTGTATTTAGCCTTAGTTGTAAGACTCATGTTGAAAAGGGTTTTAGTACTCTTGATAACATCTAGCCAGCTAAATTAGGTGATATTAAATAAAACACAATGCTTGGTAACAACAAACTTACCTGTTTATTAAGAGATAAACACAAACTGGACAAAATTACGAATAGCAATCTGAAATTGCACAGTGAACAGTAAAACCGTAAACAGTTAAAGGTGCAAGTATTACTGTAAGTTTTAATAAAAATGCAAAACAGGGGAACACTGGCGCAAAATAGTGGAATGGATCGTTTCAATCGGCGAAACTGGAAAATACAGACCGGATTTTTTTTTAAAAACTGGATCGGCAGTCTGGATCGGCATTTTACATGCTTTCCCGATACGCATTTTTTTGCCAATATCGGCGTCCCGATCCGATCCACATATCGGATCGGGACAAGCCTACTAGACAATTCTTGAAAACTATTCACACAAGCTGGATAAGTAACGAACATTACGTTACTTGTTAAAATTCCCCATTTCAGGAGGATTATAACCAATATAACCACACAAAACAACAAACCCATGAGGATTTAAAGCTTCCTTACCTTGTCTTTGTCCTCCACCAGATCACTGAGTATGTCATCAGGGTCCAGTATACCACCATCACAGTATTCTACATGGTGGGTTCGAACAAGAAAATCCCCCTCCTGAAAAAAAAGCATAATTTGTTTACAGTTACTATCAGCTGTTTGACACTAAATGGGAGACTCTATTTTACTTTCCAATCTTTTTTTACCCATATTTTTGTTTTATTTCTTGAGTAAGGCTGCAAAAAACAGCTGAGTTAATCCCATATATTTTTTCAGTTTCCACTACAGATATACAATTAAGTTTATTTATGTTGAGGTAATTCATAACACAAGTCATTAAAGGCACCTTACAGAGACTTTCAAATCACATTATACAGAAACCTGTGATAATAGGTTTAATAATAATTATCAGAAAGAGCACAATTTCAGCATTTTCTTAAAAGTCCTAGATTCAAAGAAAAACCGGGGTGGGTTAAAGCTAAGTGTTTTAATCTAGTGTCAAGTGGCCGGATAAAATGCGTCAGTGTACGCTGAGAGAGGGAGCTGCTGCCCTCTATCTCTGGGGGCATGTCAAAGATATTTCTCCAAGGCATAAAGAAATTGTCAGCTTTCGAAAACATTGCATAGTTTGTTTCCTTTAAAAAGGAAACCATCCCCAAACAACCTTATCTACTGCTCACAAACCGCCTGCTGAAAGCTTAAACAACCTTTTCTTGAATGGCTCCCTTTGGTTCCACATCTTTCTCTAGGTGCCTTGTAGAGATTACGACTCTCGCCTGGCCCATTCTCTTTCCCTCCTAACCCCCTGTTCTCTGCCGTGTTGGGTCTGTGATTAATGACACCGACACTGTACCGGACAGCTGACTACACAGAGCCGGTTGTTGAACAACATATTGAGACAACAACACACTAGCGCATACTTACACCCACATTCAAAAAGCTGTACACCGCCTACAGAAAGGTATCCATCAAAATATAACAGGGAGGTGCTTCATTAAATCTTTCTTCCAGGGTCAGGCGCATGGAACAGAGGAGCCGCTCTGTACATCCATCTAAAGGTCATTTCACACAAGAACTTCACAATTTCATTTGTATCAAAATATAACAATCCACAATAACACAAAGAAATGTGACAGAGACGTTTACAGCTTTTATATATGTTCGTTCTGGCTGGTAGATGTCATGGATGCATCTCCTGATAATCCATAAATGAGTTGGACCCAGACGGCGGTAGGCAGTGTTACCTTGGTTACATCTATTCTGAAGATAATGTGCTGTTTATATCATTTTATAATTTCAACAAACATTGAAGATTTTTATTTTAGCACCCGTCTATTAAAAAACATATCTCCTGGATATCTTTTTTGATATAAAATAGACTTAATTTCTATCCAGAAGAAACATAATACTAGTAAAACTGCACATGATCCACTAACACATTATCCTAATGGTAAAACATAGAGGTGACAGCATCATACTACGGGATTATTGTCTCCAGCAGAAAAAAGGCAGCCGTTTAGAGCTGGTAGAATAATGAACCCACATTCCAGCAGGATAACAACTCTAACTATACAGCCAGAGCTTCAGGGGACCAGTTAGTAACGGTTTAAGAAAAGAACTGAATTCATCTGAAATCTGTTATAGAAATGACAATTTGCATTCATCTATGCTCTGCATCTGATCTGAAAGAGGCTGGGCTACAGTATTTTGCAGAAAAATCGCAAAGTGAAAGGTGGTTCTTCTGATTATGAGAGAATAAATACAAAAGTTCCACACACTTTTTGCTACATACTAATTTTGTAAAGCTGCCTTTACCCGATATATAGCAAGAAAAATTAACAGGATATAATCAAATTACAACAACTTCAAGTTTGTGTCTTTAAAATGTGAACATGACAAACACACAAATATTCACACAGTATTACACCGCACATGGCCTTTAGATCAGAATATGAAGAACTATTTTTTTACTACATGCAGAATTAAATACCGACTGTATAAACAAGAAACTGTGGTTTCCTCACACAATACTGAACTCAGACTTACCATAAACAAAATATAACAAAACGGGATACTTTTAGGTCATAGAATAAAAGTATAAGACCAATAGAATATATACTATTAATTATTTAATAGGCGTTCTTTGGTGGTGCAGTGGTTAGCGCACACGAACCATGTACTGAGGCCTCAGTCCTCGATGTGGGCGAGCCGGATTCGAATCTGGCCTGTGGTCCTTTCCCACGTCTCTCCCCCCTCTCATTTCCCCTTTCCTATCAACCTACTGTCCATAAAAACGAGCCACTAGTATTGTAAAAACTAAAAAAAAGAAAATCATGTAGGGCTGCAATTAACATTAATTTTGCTAATCGATTAATTTTTTGATTAATCAATTAATAAGCAGATAAATCTTAAAGAAGATTTATAACAGAATGAAATCAGGTCAAGCTAAAATATTTCTACTTGACTTCTGAGTAGAGTATACTTACAGAGGAGAAAGTTTTTATGTGAAATGCAAAATATTTAAATATCTTTTTACAATTTAGGTATAATTGCTGCTATAAGTTGTTTTTTCTGTCAGCTAAAGCCTTAAAGTTTTTTTACTATGGGTAATTATTAATCGATTACTAAATTACTTGACAGTTAATCTCATTAATCACTATTAATCAGATTAACTGTTTCAGCCCTAATTTAATGATGAGCTGTCAGCCCATCGGCTGGATTGCACCCCATTCATGGGTGATGGACTGAACTGTTAAACCAGGTAAGTGACTCACTGAGATCATCATCTTCTCTCAGATGATCGTAGTCACTTACCTGTGTTTCTCCCACAGAGTGTCTGTGATGGGCTCCTGCAACATCCACAAGCCATAGATCCGAGCAGCTCCACTTTATTTTTATTTGTTTTTATTTTAGTAAACGTTTTGAAATTTCCTACTGACTGTCTCACCTTGAATACTGGGTCCACGGTCTCGTTTTATGACACAAACATTATTTGTATCCTTGTAGCTATTAAACACTGTTAATAATCTACCAAAGGTCTCAACTCATTTGTCCGATTGTCTGACCTCTCCGTTGTGGCATTCCTCGACAGGATAATGTGGCATTCCTCTCTCACATTATCAGTTAATCAGATGGAGCAAACTTTAATGTAATAAAACATTCATTTTTGTAATGTTTTGCAAAAAAAACAAACTAGCGATTATTTTCAACTGATACAATTTTATGTTCTTTCTTTGCACAATCTACAAGCATGTCAAGGTTTCATGACCTGAAAAGCTTCTTTTTTTCCCCAGATTTTTTTATTGTCTTAGGACTTTACTGTTATTGTTGCATAGAACATTTCTTACTTCTACTATCATGCATGGATCTGTGCGCTAGCTGCAACTATCTCTTTCTTTCGGTTTAGCAGTAAACCCACTCTAAGCATAGTACTGCCACCTAAAGGGCTAAAGTGAGCAAACCACTGTCTTACATTTCTTCAAATGTAATGTGACCAAAACTGATTGCCTCTGCTATTTGAAAATAGAATTTTGTGTATATAAACTGTATAAATGTGTATATAAACTGCGCTTATATTACAAATAAAATTAATTGCCTAGCCCTGATTTGTTGCATTCCTACTCACAATAAAGCAATATCACAGATTAGAAATAATTTTCACTTCACTGACATTTATACAGATGAAAATTAAACTACTTCAACAATAACTGTTTAACAGCTGGTTGCTCGTGGTTTTATTTTGCTGCTCATACTTCCTGGTTTTCTAACACAATAAGCTGCAATGTTCTACTGTATAAAGTTACAGCAAGTCACTTTACATAGTATGAACACTGTCGACCGATAGTCCAGGATTATAATTCATGTAGGATTATACTTCCAAGAAAAATCCAGAATCTTTTAATTCTACTTTAATGTAAAATTGTTAATTGCCAGTATAAAATAATTTAATTTCCAGTAAAAATAACTGGAAACCAAATTTGAATAATCATATTGTGTACAGCCCTGAGATGGATCGGCAAGCTGTCCAGGGTGTACCGTAATTTGCCGATAGAATGCCAGCCCCACTGCGACGCTGACGGAATAAGTGGGAGAAGGTGGATGGATGGATCTTCTCTATATTTATTGACAACAACAAAAAAAGGACAAACATGGAACATTTGTTCTCTAAAGTTAAAATGAGTAGCGATCCTGGTGAGAATTGTTAGATTTTGCTTTAACATGGATGCTTCCGTATACACACAATGTTTTAAATATGAATTTAAGTCAACAACAATGAGGTTTTAAAAGTGCATAATAACTTTTAGACTAACTAACACTATAACTTTTATTGTCATTTTGTATACAAAGTGTGTATAAAAAATGAAATTTTGTTTTGTACAGTTTTTGGACAGTAAATGAACAGCAGCTTAGCAGTAAAATAAATATTTCCATTTCATAAAGTAGAGAAGTGTGGGAGAAAAACACGGTGCAAAATGCATTGATATGGAATTTCAGAGCAGTGCAACAAACAAACATATATGTCGCCAAAATGCCGTAGAAAACCATTTTTTGGTTTGGTGTTATCAGTGTGATGCGGAGTCTCGATTTTTCTTTCTTTGGAGGTTGAAATAGAAAAAAAAAGTCTATCCCTTTTGCAAATACTCTAAACCCTAAAGCTGAAATGTAATTTAATCTTTTGTGTTTTAATCAAGCATAGAAAATTGTACTTGCAACAACTTCTAACCACATGAAGTCACACGCACTTGATAGAAAAGATATTTACAGCTGGTCTTTGCCCCAAAGCACGTACAGAATCAACTATATAAAGTGAAAAACAGTTGTGGTAGAAGGTATTTGCATTAGACCAACACCCTCATTCCTTTGGTGACCTGCAACTGTTTTTATAGCACCAACAGCCCCTTTGGAGTTCTTGCTACAGAAGGTAAGACACAGAGCTAAAGGCTGACAACCTTAAAGAATGATAGCTGGGAGCAAATCAATCTAGTTTTATTATCTCTGTCAACAATCCTAATTATAAACAGGAGAAACAAAAAGGTACATTAGTATAGTAATCCAATGTCAGAACCAAAAAAAGATTGACCAACACAGAAAAAATAAGACACCACTGAGAACTAAGG